TCCGGCGAGTAGCAATTACTCCGACCCCAGCAATTACATCCGGCGAGTAACGATTAGTCCGATCCCTTTGATTACTTGGGCTTGGGGTGGGAGGGCGCTACCCCAGGCACTACCCCACTCAATCTCTACAGTATGAAGTCAGAGACCAACACTGACCTACACCGAGAAATGACGTGGGCAGACGTTACAGTTTTAGATTTTGAATTGAAAGAAAAGGGAATATTATTATAATTTAAAAACAACAACAGATGAATGAGAAAAAAGCGAAAGCAACGAATAAGTTTTGACACTGTATACTAGATCGATATAATCTTTGACAATGACTTTGCATCCCGACTACTCTTTATTAAGTCTTCAAGATTCAGGATAATCCCGATTTCAGAACATAGCAAACCACAAACATTTTTTTCCCTCAAAAATACACATTCTTTGAAGAAAAAATAAGAGAAAAATAGAGTAATTGAGAATCGTTAGTTTATGAAAAAGGGATCGGTTCTTTTTCTCAGAAGCAATAATCGCAGGAATCGGTTCTGGAATCGATTCTTGGCCCACCACTACCCACTGGGGTAAAAGAAAATCTGGGGGGTTACAGGGGGGCATGTTAGTGGGTTTTTTTATGCAGTAGACTTTGATCGTCTGCGAACAGTATTTCATTTATAATTTAGGTTCTCCGGATGTGGGCTTGCTTCTTTCGTCAAACAATATATTACGGTATAATTGAGTTATTTCTTTGTTAATGTATACTGTGTTGGATAACAAGATGAAGATGTGTAGCTTCTTAGACTTTATTGTTAATCTTTTTATTTGTATCATTAGATTGGAAAACTATACATTCTCATTTTAAAATATATATATATATATATGATTGACGGATTTTGTGGATCTGGGGAGGGGGGGGGGGGGGGAGGAGGACCAAATACAGGGGAGAAAACTCGCAATTTTGTGGGAAAATAAGAAATGTTCTAGGGGAAATCATATATATAGGCCACCTCTATTCTCACCCGGAGTGAGAATAGTGCAGGCGAGTCTTGTGGCTATTCTCACCCGGTGCGCGTTCACCGAATTTTGCGTTCACCCTAAACCACAGAATTCTACACTGTGATAACAGAAAAATTGTAGAATTCTGTGCCATGAACAAACGTTCCATTACAATTGTAGCCTACTAAAAAGCGTACAATTTTGTCTGTGGGCAGTAGAGAGAAAGAGAGAGAGGAGTAGCGCGAGAATTTCCGGGCAAAACAAAATGGCGACCCGCGTAGTTCGGCTCGATTCGAAAAGTTAAATAGCCGTAGCATCTTTGTAGACAACCAAATTTATTTACTTTTGTGTTTTAACATCATTTTTTAACTTTGTTTTAGTCAATTTGATCGTCCACACCGATAGACAGTATTCAGAAAGAGACGGAGAGAGAGAGAAGAGGGGAGGAGTTGATCTTGCGAGAACTTCCGGGCGGGTGAGAATAGCCACTTTCATATATATACGAAGTGACTATTTCTCCGAACGTTCGGAGAAATAGTGCCGATCTTTATTTCTCCGAACGGTTTTCGGCTTCCGGTCTCGTGATTTTTTGCCTATATATATATCTATTTATTGCGAGAGTTCGGCGCCAACTTTCATTCTGCCTCTGGTCTGGGAAGGAACACGTACCGCATGGCAAGCCCGCCTACAGACAACCTTCAGTAACACCCACCACACACACACCACCATCATGCACATGTACACACACTAACTAAACATAACTAGTGGGCAACTTTTGAACGTATGACGAGCTGAACTGTGGATGGAGAGACAGTGTGAGTGAAAGAGCGGGTGAAAGGAAGAATGTGCGAGTGTATCCACAGGCGACAGCAACTACAAGACGACGACACTGACCACCCCTGGCCTGGTCCACAGCTCACGAACAAAAGGAATGCAGCTCAGGCGGTGTTTTGCCTATATTATTGTCCATGGTTCGCAGGGAACAAGTGAGATTTTCTTTGTGTGTGCCTGGAGGGATGGGGTGGGGTATGAAAGTCATGCGGACGGGGATGAGCCGCGGGAGAGAACACGGGAATTGAATGAAAGAGTGAAACTGAAAGAGACGAATGACTCATGAGTCCTGGAGTGAATGGATCCTGTGTTTCTATTTTTGTATACTTTGAACTGTTACTGAATAAAGGCTGAAATAAAGCCCGAAAAACAAACAAACACACACACACACTCCTCACTCTCCACTTACTACCACACACAGACACACTCAAACACTCACACATACATACATACACACACACACACACACACACAGGAGCAAATTTTTGGGTCTATATCTATTTCAATTTTCAACAGCTAGTCTAGATGAGATTTTTAGATGAGTGTAAAAACGTGAAAAAGAAAGGTTTCACAACAGAAAGAAATCAAAATTAGAACAGCCCATAAACAACAACAAACATTAACAAATAAGGGCGTGTGTCCACCTGTCCGAAAAAGATTGGCAGTTTTAACCCTAAATGTGCGTAATTTAAAAAAAAGTACAGGATATTACATGTAAATTATGGAATCACACACATTAAGGGGCTTGCCAGTGTCAGTACATTGGTCGCAGCAGTGACAAACGCAGATGCCAGTTCTATGTGTCGTTATCAATAACCCTCCGTAGATCTAGATCTAGACAGCACACGAGTGAACACAACACATTACGTTTAAAAGCAGCACCTTTCATAGGCAACACGTCATATCTATAGCGAAAAACTGTTTGGAATTGTAGCATTTCTTTATATAAATATTTACGGCGGACATTTTTTGGACCGATTGAACCATATTGTATACGAACAGTCTTTGGTAGGCCCATACTATAATTATAGATCTCTATATAATATCCGAAATTTGGGGGAAAGGATGATATTTCAGAGTGTTCGGAGAAATAGTGCCCAGCTTTATTTTCCCGAACGTTCGGAGAAATAGTGCCCAGCTTTATTTTCCCGAACGTTCGGAGAAATAGTGCCGGCCATATATATATGCCCCTGTGGGCCAATAAGCACTCTGTTCAAACAAAGCCTTATTAACTCTTTACCAGACATTGTTTTTGCCTTTTATTTCAAAAGAATATTGTTCAGCCATGGAACAGTTTCGACGGAAGATTTAATTTACATTAATAATATACATAAGCTTTAGGCTGATCCTCCAAAACTCTACTGGGCATTCACAATTTTGGAGAGAAGTGAAGCCATTTCGTCACACATTGGGGTGTGACGAGATGACCGTGTGACGAAATGACTGGTTACCTTGAATAATTGTCAGCACCTGATATCTTGACTGTCAATTATAATTATATTTTCTGAATTAAACAATGTTGATTTTAAAAGTATCACTGATTAAACAATTTCAGAGATGGTTCTGTAAATATGTCTGTTATTTAAGCACCAAGTTGTTGGATTTTTTTTTCTAAATTCACTTCGCACCCCCCCCCCCCCCCCCCCCCCCCCCGGGGCAGTGCTACTGACTGAAGTGTCTATAGGTCATTCCCAAAGGGGGGACATTTATCTGAACTGCAACAGGGAACTGCTGCTTTTTCTTTCCTAATCCTTACCATCGTCATTTGGCCTCTACTTCTTTTGTATGTTTGTCACATTCTTATGACCCGCTAGTTCTGGGGTGCCTTGATAGACGAAGCAGACTTTGTGCTGTTGAAGCTAGAGAGGTGAGCAGAGTAAGTCTGATTCCCTGTGAGGACTTCTCTGTTGACATCCACCCTTTGGCGCTCATATGACCTTTTCTGCAGTTGCAAGTGCCATAGAACTTCTCCTAAAAACAAAAATAAATTAGCTTCAGTCCTCGATTCATTGATGTGAGTGTCTAACTCTAACTTGATCAAATTATAATTATATGTGAGGCAGCGTGGTGAAATCAGGCGCTCGTCAAAATAATGAAATCCGAGAAATCTGCATTTTTCGTCCAGGTTGGACTTTAAAAAAAAATAAATTTTTTTTTGGCCTCAACACCTTGTGTGTCGAATCAAAAACTTTATGTTTGGATTTTATGGATAAACGTTGATTGAAAAGCACGAAAAATGTTAATTTGCAATTTCTAAAGACTCTCAAGCTATGGAAGTCGCCAAACTTTGGAGGCCATTTTCTTGCTAATTTTACTTCTGAAACCAGGTGACCCCATCTCCTTCAATTGCAAATATCTCGACTTCTATTCAAGATAAATGGACATTTTTTTCCTCAAAAGCAAAGCAAATGAATAACCTTTAAGATGGTACAAATAACTTCATATATGCCCTAAAATTGACAAGAGCCTGATTCCACCACGTCGTGACACATCTATATATATATATATATATATATAGGTCTATTATATCATATCGTAGGACCTGACTCACACTTTTTAAAACGAAATGTTTTAACCTGATGCATCACGACTGTATAATTTTAGGAAGAGGCTAGCCGTACTTAATGACACTTGCAGTCTAGCCGTACTTATTCTAAATATGATGGCTAGACTGACCATTAAAAAAAAATAGGCCTACTTAATTGTAAATATAAATTTTTAGTGTGCAGTACCTAAAGTATTTGTATTTGAGACGAAACCAGGTGCCTTAATGACAGTGCATGTATTTTAAACCTCCTGTTTTCTAATGTTAATTGGGCCTAAGATAAGTACGGCTAGACTGGCAGTCTAGCCATACTTAAGTACGGATAGTCTTCTTGTCTAGCCGTACTTAAGTACGGGTAGACAGCCAGGCTAGCCGTACTTAAGGACGTCAGGCTACCCGTACTTAATATTGATGGCTGAATTGTAAATGAAATTTTTAGTTTGCTATGCCTAAATTATTTGTATTTCAGACAAAACCAAAAGGTGCCTTACCGGCTTGCATGTATTTGAACCCGAATAATTGCTAGATCTAGATCTAATGAGACCTGTGTACTTAACAGGCTTGAGTCGATAGGGCCAAACCTAGATCTAAGTACAGCTAGACTGGCAGTCTAGCCGTACTTAAGTACGGCTAGCCACTTCGATAATTTTATCCCCTTTTTCATAATCCACAATGAAATTATTTTAGAAGTGTGAGGAGGGATTTTGCACAGAAAAATGTGTCAAGCTTTGATACCTGTTTGAATGATGTCCTTTTTAGGATGTTCGGAATTCATATTTCTTATAAACACCATTTTGATTTAAACCAGGTATAAAGAGATTGACAGGTCTCAAGAAGTATATATATATTACAAAAAAGTCTCTATGCTCAGATTTGCACTATTTGACAATGGAGAGTCTCTGTGGTGGGTTGACTGTAAGAGATTTAAATTTTCCCAGCTATTACTGATACTATCTTATATCTATATTAATTGACACTTTGTGTAAAAAGTATCTTTTAAATTATAAATATTTCTATTTTTGTATCAGAGATAAATCTTCTTCTTTGTCTAAGTGCCAGATCTGGAACAGTTACAATTGAGGTTCACCACACTTTTATGTTCTTGGAAGCTTTAAAAACATTTTATTCTGGTCTGTTCAAGTCACTCATCTGTTCAAGTTCTCTTAGTAAATTTTTTAATGTACCTGTCCCCTTTGTCTTTTGTCTTCTATTTTTGTACTGAAAACGAGATGTCCTCGGAACTGTTTTTTTCTCTGCCCAATTTTTTTTTGTCTGTCAGTGATGATTCCGCATTGGTTTCTTTAAGCACCTCGTACCTCATTAGGTTCGTTTGATGAAATTCTGAGCAGTCTCCCAAGAAACCGCATGATTTCTGTTGCTTCTTGTTATGTTTTCCACTATCTTATTGTCACTTGTGATGTTCAGCTGTACAAAAAGGTAGACCTCACTCAGCGTTTTAAAACCTTTATTTGTGTCGATGAGATTTTCCTTTTTTTTCAGGATTAGACTCATTTGACTGAAACTATTTGCATCTGTAGTTTAAAATTTTTGGGGTTTATTTCCTGGACAGAACAACATTTCTATAATTGGCAGTTTAGTAAATGTGAACTGTGTCATAACAAGAACGAAATCTAGTCTTAATGCTCTTGAGCTCTAACCTACCAATCTGCACCATAAGCTGTGCACCCAAACTGATACTTTTAAGCTGCACATTTTTCCGTCTAAGATTCTCAGATTAAGTACTTCTTTTGTCCATAGCTACTTTTTTGCTCATTTAGTTGTTGTGGTTGATTCCAGAGGTAATAATATGGAGACTGCCATGGACAACTCATTAGAGACTAAATAGAGAAATATAACCATGAAATAGTAATGGATACAATGCTTTATTTAATTTTTTCTCAGGTGAAGACATTTTCATGGAAGTGCAATTTTTTTAAAGAAAAGCATAAAAAACAATGACATTGGTCTCTTTGGAAAGAGCGTGAAGACACCAAATCTACATCCTTTAGTGGTGACTGAAAGTGGAGCTGACAAGTGCCTTGTACAAATGGCGGGTGGAACAGCGGAGGATCCTGTGGGTGTGGAGGTCCTTTCACCAGGAGATCAGTATTCAAAGCTGGTAGGCAAACCCCCTTGATTTGTTTGCAAAGATTTATTTGAAAAACAATCCCATACCATGAACTGTTCACAGTGTTGCAGGTTATGATGTGGTGAGTTTGCAACTTTTTAAGTGTTTCATACTTATTGTGCTTAGAAGAAGGAAAGCAGTGTGTTGTGCATGTGTGTGTGTGTGTGTTTGTGTGTGTGTGTGTGTGTGTTGACCAGAAAGGCATCAAGAACAATTGATAGAGACCTAAGTAACTTTGAATATCTGCACAAAACAAACATTCTAAAAAAGGCAGAAATAATGCTAAGTGACCATAGCTACCCACTGACACATCAGAATTTCAATTATCGACCCACAGTAAACAATACATTTCCAAAAAAGCAAGAACAGACAGATACAGAAATTCATTCGTACGAACTGCAGTGAGGTTACTGAACACACAGTGCTACAAATGAGAGAGAGGGAGAGAGAGATAATTTACGGAGCGGGTGTTTCAGCACGTGAGACATGTATTTACTAATGTCCTGTCTTTTTCGTATGAGTGAGTGCACCTAAGCTTTGTGACATTTTTTTTTTTTTCCACTACCCATTACGCCATCTGGCGTTTAGGGCAGCAACAAAGGATCTCCAGCTCTGTCTGTTTTGGGCCATCTTGGTCAGTGTTCCTCACGAATGATTCCAGGACTTCATTTCAGACTCAACTGTGCGTCTCCAGGTCACTTTGGGTCTGCCCTTTTTGCGACGTCCTTTGGGTGTCCAGTGGAGGGCAGTTTTCACAATAGAGTCTGGTTCTCTTCTCAGAACATGTTCAATCCATCTCCATCTTCTCCTTTTTATTTTGGTGGTCATGTCCTCTTGCCTACATTTACGTAACAGATCTGCGTTGGAAATCTTGTTGGGCCAGAAGATTCTGAGGATTTGGCGTAAGCTGGTTGTAAGAAAGGAAGATAGCTTGGCTTGGTCATGATCTGTGATCCTCCAGCATTCAGCTCCATATAGGAGTGTGGATAGTACACAGCTGTTATACAGCTTTAGCTTGGTTTGTATACTAAACTGTCCTGACTTCCAGATGTTGATCATGCTTCTGTGTACAGATCTTGCCTTGCCGAGTCTGTTCATGATGTCTTCCTTTGTGCCGCCGTCAGTTTTGATTATGCTGCCTAGGTAGGTAAATGTGTCTGTTATAGGAAGGTCTTTGTTGTTCACCCTAATCAGCATTGGGGAGCCTACATTTAGTGTCATCACTTCTGTCTTCTTCTGGCTTATTCTTAACCCAATCTGGCGTCCGTATTGTGGAGTCGGTTTGTTTTTTTCCCTGCATGTGCTGGTTGGTATGGGAGAGTAGTGCAAGGTCGTCGGCAAAGTCAAGATCCTCGAGGGTGGAGAAGAGGGTCCACCTTATACCTCTTGATGTATCCTCTGTTGTTTTCCTCATAACCCAGTCAATGGCCAGGTTGAACAGAATTGCTGACATGTTGCATCCTTGTCTAACTCCTGTCTTTACCTCAAAGGTAGTGGTACTGTTTCCAACAACGCACTTGAAGTTTTGGTAGAAGCTCTTCTCACACAGAAATATGGTTTGTCTTTGTTACTGTTTCCGTAACATATGCTTTTTACCAGTCTGGGTTGTTAGCCCTGAGCTGAACCTCGGAAACCTGGAGGGCCGGTGGATCACGCTTCGTTTAACCTCTACCCGTCGACCTGTCTGGCATGGGTGGCCCTACCAGGAGCATTAGCTCCAGCCAGCGTTGCTCTTGGGGTCACTGAGGCACACAAGCTCTCTAAGCACAACAAGATAGTGATCCACTAGAGAGTTGTGACTTCTACTGCCATTGTAAACGACAAAGACAAATTTCTCCCTGCGAGATGAATAAAGATTGTCATTGTCATTGTATGTGTGTGTGTCTATCTCTCTCTCTCTCCTCTCTCTCTCTCTCTCTCTCTCTCTCTCTCTCTCTCTCTCTCTCTCTCTCTTTCTCTCTCTCTCTCTCTCTCTCTCTGTGTCTCTTCTTTCTCTCTCTCACTCTCTCTCTCTTTCTCTGTCAGGGGGCTCTCGTGGCGTAGAGGTTAAGGTGTTCGCCTCTCATTCAAAGGTTGCGGGTCCGAAACCGGGTTGCGACAGAAACATTTTTTTCTCTAAAATTGTCTCCTTTCACCTCCTTTCTTGCTCTCTAGCAAAGTTCTGTCGCCTGCTTTCGTCCCCACTTTCTGTCCCCACCTCCTTTGCCCCCTCCTGTGGGCTCCTGACTCTACAGTCAGCCTTTCTACTGCTTCTCCTTGGCTCCTTCTTACTGCTGTCTTTCAGCCACACCCCTGATCTTGTGGTAGGAAAGATCCTCACTTAGTCTTCTCGGACAAGGGTGAAAAATCTCAGAGGTCCGTTGTGCAAGTTGCGCACGTTAAAGATCCCTTTGTGGTCTAAAATCGATAAAAGTAGGTTTTGGCCGCCACCCGGGCAAAATTCAAAATTTCCTACCAACTCAAAATGTTTGGTGTGTCCTGCGCGCTCATATGACCTAATGCAGTTGCGAGTTCCGTAAAACACTTACCATCTCTCTCTCTCTCTCCCTCTCCCTCTCCCTCTCCCTCTCC